AATTTCCCGTACAAAAAAAATTTTGGTTCCGGATGAATTTCCGGATGAACTTTAGATTGTGAAACAAATATGAATTTCATCATGAAAGTCAGCTGGAATTTCAGATGAATTTCATGATGAATTTGAATCACTTTGTATATGAATTTAAACTTAATTTTTTTAATTTGTGAAATAATATTTGGAGACAGTTATATTGGAATTTTTATTTTTATTTACACTGACTTATTATTTACGATTCTTAAACTTCTATCTGGATAAATTTGTTGGAGTAGAAGAACACAAGATTTAGAATAATATTACGAAATTCATCATGAAAGTTAGCTGGAATTCCAGCTGACTTTCATGTTGAATTTCGTAATATTATTCTGAATGTTGTGTTCTTCTACTTCAACAAATTTATCCAGATTGAAGTTTAAGAATCGTAAATAATGAGTCGGCGTAAGTTAAACTAAAAATTCTAATATAACTGTCTCCAAATATTTTTACACTGATTAAAAAAATTAAGTTTTATGTGCGATTTGTTTCAAATTCATCATGAAGTTCATCTGGAATTCCAGCTGACTTTCATGATGAATTTTGTAATATTATTCTGAATCTTGTGTTCTTCTACTCCAACAAATTTATCCAGATTGAAGTTTAAGAATCGTAAATAATGAGTCAGCGTAAGTTAAACTAAAAATTCTAATATAACTGTCTCCAAATATTTTTACACTGATTAAAAAAATTAAGTTTTATGTGCGATTTGTTTCAGATTCATCATGAAGTTCATCTGGAATTCCAGCTGACTTTCATGATGAAATTCATATTTGTTTCACAATCTGAAGTTCATCCGGAAATTCATCCGGAACCAAAATTTTTTTTGTACGGGTAGTGCAAAACATGACGTTATTCCAATTTAATTAAATTATCCGTTATATTAATTTCACTTTTGAAAAAACAAGGATTTAATTAATCCATGCTTTATAGTTAAATAATAATATTTATACGTTAATTTGAAAAGCATTTATTAATTTTCTTCAAATATGAAAATGTAAAAGCGTGACTTTGATCTTTCAAATTAGTGAATACTAATTTATTAAAAAATAATATTTCAGTTGAGGGAGTAATACGAAATAACTATTAGGTAAAAGCAAACTTTGTAATATTCCTCTTTAGCCATTTCGTAAATTCCTTCATATAGTTCTAGATCCTTTCATCCCTCTTTGGTTCGTGGATGAGATTTACTGCCAGCTTAGTAGTATCTAACATGATTATGTCGAAATTATTCACTTTTTTACAACATAAATATTACATTATATCAATTTTAATAATGAGGAGAATTTTTACTCACAATTTACTAATGAAGAAAGAATAATCTTTCATGTGTGATGTTAATTACGTAATTATTTTTCTATTCAAATATCGATCAATATTTTCAATCATAACTCGCTTTTAAAAGTTGATGATTTCTTTGTGTTGCTTCTTTGGTCTATACATTGTAGGTGTAACACGAATAAGTGAGAATGCCTAACGTCAGAAAAGTTGACATCAAGCATTACCTGTCTCTCCATGTTCGAAAATAAAATGTGAAAGAATAAAAAAATCTCGCCCTCCATAATTCAGCCGTGTAAAATGGAAACGTTGTCTAACTTACGACATACTACAAAATTGGCCAACCGACCGTCGTCACAAGAACCTGAAGAGACGGCTGCTGTATTCTCTCACGTGAATTTTCACTGTAAATGTAAGTGATTCTGTTGAAGAATTCATGTTGAAATGCATTATATATATATATATATATATATATATATATATATATATATATATATATATATATATATTCAATGCCATATTTCACTTTTTTTTGTTTTTTTATTTTGCCTATTTATGATAATAAAAATCTGAATTTTTATTTTAAATCGACGTTGAATCAAATTCATAGATTTTGAGTATACCCGTGAAAAAATTTTCTGATATAGCTAATTTTCATGTACGGTCATACACGAGAGTAAATAAATAATTTTTAGAATTTATTTTTCTTAGAAATGACTGCATCAATTGACCTGTCGTATTATGTGAAATTTTTTTAGTAATTGATTCAACTGAGAATTAATATCAGATAAGCTCTTTGAGAGAGTAAAAAAAGTGATGTCTATTTCTGAACTTAACACCTCAAATTAAAAAGACGATTCGACGATCATGCGCGCTCAGTCGGAGATTTTCAACACTTCTTTTCACAATAGGAATTTGGATTAGTAATGAAACACATTTTTTTGTGCCAAGTTTTAACACAAACTTTGTGTAGACCATTTTAACACTAAAAATGTATTGATTTTACACAATATTTTTTACTGCTTTGGTCAAAAAATTGTATGAAGACACAAATAGTCATGCCAGGATATATCAAGCCATTTACAGGCATTTCATGACTCATGATATGTCTGTAAATGATTCATGACATATCAGAAAAATTTTTCCTGAGTTCGTATAATTTTCTCCGAAAATAATATTATATTATATTATATATGATAGTTTATGGTAATAATATAATATACAGAGAAAGGCATCTGACAAGTGCAAATATTGCATTAAAATAAACGCTGACTACATTTTCGCAATTATACGTTAATGAACATTCATCCACATTAAAGTTCAAAAGCATTTCTGTGCAATATTACTTTAACATTTTAGCTTTGGATAACTAAGTACAGAGAAACTATTTCTTTCTTCCTATTTATCATTTTGCAAACAATATCACGTAAGACATAAATGTTATAACTTTATAATTGAGTTTTGAAATGAAGCTGAGCTTTGAAACTGAGAAAATAATTAAACAATTTTAAAATGAAAGTAAAGAATAGAGTTGTATTAAAAAATGAATAAATATTTTTCAAGTCTTCTTTAAGAAAATATAAGTTCACCATGTCTTGTCATCTTCAAAAATTAGCTCAAAAATTTTTATAAGCTACTCTATTTTTTCAAATATATCCAAAATCAACCGAACTTATAATTTTTTTTTTCTGTTATAGTTTATTTTTATTTCAATTTATCGCACCATCGTTTATAAATAGATCATGGAATATATTGAAAATAAAATCAACTAGTGAAATTCTATAGAAAGAATAAATAACGAAAGTGTAGTGACTATTTTTCTGTGATATCTGCTTAGAATGTTCGATTTTCAAACGCTGTACGACTGGTTAGGGAATAAGGGGTTAATCCCCAAATGATAAAGTATAAGCATTTTTTTGTACATGTCAAAAGCACTCCTTTTCTCTACATCCTCTCCGAATTTTCCCATTCAAATACTAAAATACTACCGGAACTTATGACATTTATTTCATTTTACTAATAGCTGGTGGGTTAGATGTGAGGGTGAAAAAATTAAGTATGCATCCCACACAGACTTTTCATTTTTTAACGTGTAAAGAGAATGTTAAATATTATTTAACTGTTATTTACTTAACAACAACAGACATCTCTTACTTGAAGATTAATTACGTTACAATATACGAAAGCTTCCGGTGTAAATAAATAATATAAAGACAGAAGTGAAAATGGTTATAACGCTGTATTTTAACCAAAATACGTAGTAATGAAGGGGTCGAATTTATATATTGTACGCTATGAATAACATGAAATTTTGATTTATGCTTTTTAATTTAAAATTTCGGTAAAATCCAATCAACTTCTTGTTATTGATAGTATTTTTAATCTATTACGAGTATGAAATTTCAAGTCGACAGTTGAATATATAAGTAAGCCTGTAAATTCAAAGTTAAAATCCATACTTGTAAGGAAGTTTCAATAAAGACCCGTGAATTATGTTTCTTCGTAATGTTTTTTTTTATTCCTGGAATTTTTGTTTTCTTTCTTTATTTTAACTTCTCTCTTTGGAACTTTCTTAACAATTTTATTTTTTATTTTTTAAAGTTACACGGGTGACTCTTTCAGCTAAAACTTTACGTCTTGCTCTGAATCCACAGGCCGCTAATCTTTAAAAATATGTGAAACATTTTTCATACCGTTTTGAAGTAATAAGGATTTAACCATTTTATATAGAATTCTTTTTTTTCACAAACTTTGCCAAGAAAATATATTTAAGCCTATAATATATATAAATTTCTACATTTACGAAGTCTAAAAGTTAACAAAAAAATTCAGCGTTTATTAAACTGTCCAATTATACACAATACATCTCGATTTAAGTGTTAGTTGGAACAAATAGCATAAAAAATTAAGACGTGTTTAATTTTTTGACAAAAAATTTAATAATTTTTTTTATGGAACAATTTTTTGTCTTATTTTTATTTAAGTAAAAGAAATATTTTAACAATAAATATCGAAATATTAAGAAAACTTTAACTGATGCTTATACAATTAGCTTACTCGAATCGAAACAGCAACCTAGAGAAAAACAATATATCCTATGATCAATGCTTAAAACAACGATTTTTTTTTATTTCAAGTAAAACTTTTTTATTCATTTTCCTCTTAGAAAACTTATTGATTAGTTTCTTGATTGAAGCTAAAACTTCACAAAATTGAAGAATTTTTCACTCAATTGAAGAGAAAAACTATAGCTTGTTACATGTGCTTCAATCCAAAAATGCTTGATTAAAGAATTAAATATCCAAGATGAGAAATTTTATACTTCAATTTATCAGAAGTTACTTAATTCACTATCGATCTAAAAAAGTAATTTAATTTTTTGAAAAAAAAAAAAATGTTTTCCTCTCAGTAGGGACGTACTCAACTTTTACATTAGAACATATTAAAATCAAAAATTCTGAGAGCAAAAGATCCACCGGATTCTTTGTCACTACGATGGAAAAGACCTATGCCCTCAAGAGGAAAACCTTCATCAAATAATACTTCGCGACTGTCAAAGAAAGGGACTGTTGTCTGACCGGCATCTTTCTTGAGATCGGATCTATAAAACTTGACAGATTTATTAGTTGTTAGTACAAAATCAGTTTCTGGTGAATTCCTGGGATTTCCTCGATTGCGGAGTACAAATTCACTAAAAATAACATCATTATATTATTAAAATTGGAGAAAAAAAAAAATCTGATATTTAATCAAAAGAATTGAGTTAACACATGAGAAAAATACAAACTTGATCAATTGATTTTTCGGAGTTATCCAAATAATGAGGTTCATCGATATCGACCATAAGTTTCCCTGTATTGAAATCTAATCGAGTAGTTTGAATTTGTAGCTCCATGGCAGCTTCGGTTGAATTCGATGTATCCAACGAGTCTCTAGCAAATCTCATTCTAACGCCTGTAACCACTTCATCTTTGGAACACATCACATCATTTAAATTCATGATGTTCGCTTCTCCGTAATCGATTCCCGAACGTAATTCAATCGATGACTTATCGTCATTGATGATGTAATAGTTTTTAATTGTCTCGTTGTAATAAAAATTTTCAACCGGTTTCCATGTTGCATTAATGGTTTTTCCATGCGGTAAAACTTCTGCTTGTAATATCTGAATATGAATTATTCAACAATCATTAAATGTGAATTAAAACGACAGAAAAAAAATGAATTTTCTAGAATAAAATTATTGATAATAAAAGAATTTTGAATTATTTTTGTTTTTGAAATGTATAAAAGATTATTTTTATTCCAACATAAAAATTTCTATGAAAAGTTGTATGTTAGCCTAGGTATTAACGGAAAAAAAACTAATTACAAATTTGTATCTTATCACTTACTATAAAAAGTACAGTATTTACTATACCACTGAGCCGAAAATAGTATCGGCGTGATACAAAACTAAAATCACTTTTTTCCATGTTACTGTGGGAAATAAACTTTGGTTTTTTTGAGGAAAAATACTTTTTTTTTATTATAAAAATAAAATATTTTACTTATTTTCATTTCTATCTGACACTTGATCTCGGAAACTAATACTTGTTATAACATTTAGTGCACGTTTTGGCTTACTTTTACAAGTGCATACACAATAAACACAATAGTCCAAGAAAGGTCCTTCAAAGTAACTAGATAAAAGTTTCACATTCCCGTGACAAGTGTCATCATTTTTGTTGCCATAAGTATGTCCATAGGAGTCTTCAAACCACTCGTAACGTCTGACATCATTGTCCTAATTGACGTTAATTAAATATCGTAGTTAATAGAATTATTAAAAAATAAAATGTGAGCAAAAAAGTCAGAAAGTTTTATCACCATTTCAAAGACATAATAATACGCAGACAATTCTTTACAATCGAGAAATTCTTGACACTCTGTCTCGTTGCTAATGTCATTTGCAATTCGTTCAAGGTTACACCCGCTGTTACAAGATCGTGTAGATGTTAAATTTTTTTCATCGATAATAATTGTTTGTATCATTCTTATTAATTCGATGTACGTATTTTCAAAGGCTTTAAAAATAAAAATTATTTATTTGAAAATTAGCGTCTAGTAGTCATACCTTTCGAAATTTATAAGTATCTTTTCTAAAATTCATTAAATTAGTTTTTATATATGTCAAGTAATTACACTGTTCGTGAACCTCCGGATCACATTGATATGTATAGTAATTTATTCCATGGAGTGCCTTTACAGTTGAATTCATGATATCCTGTAAATTCATGCTATAGGTACGAGCTTTATTTATACTATCTCTGTATGATGCTATCGAATAAATTATATAAATTAATATGATGATAGACAAAAAAAATATTTGGAGATATATTATGTACAATTACGTACAATTATCACACTGTTGTTCAATAATCCACATGTAGTATTAGATCAAATACAGATGAAAATGTTTTTAAAAGTTCAAATACAGATCAATAAGTTCAAGTGCAGATCATTTAGCTTAAAATCAGTTTAAATTTTTCGACCCGGGTTCCTTTGTAGTCATTTTGAAGTTGAGACAACTATTATATACAATTAAATAAAATTCATATCAGTAATTTGTATAATTATATATCTATTTAGAACGAATTATTAACAAATTTCTGTCTAACCCTCGTTATCGCACTTACTTCCATCAATCTTGATGCGTATTTATATATGCATCGTATAATAAGCTACAAAAAGTTACCAAATAAAAACATTATACAGTCGAGTCTCGTTATGAGTCCTATAAGTGTCTCTCTCGTATTAATGCGAATTTGGTTAAAAAAAAAAATAAAAAAGGCCATTTGGCATCCGAAATAGAAGTAGATTTCATTTTATTTTATTTCTGTGGACAAAACGACTGCAAAAGTAAAATTTCTTAAAAATGATAATGTAATATTTGATGTAATATTTTAAACATGTAAATTGAAGCTTGATTTCTCAGCTTTTAGATGCATTTTATATAAATTGAATATTCCAACGCGTTCAAAAATTATTTGAAGGAGAAGTAATGAGAGTATGAAATTTTCAAAATTTTTAAATGCTGTAACTTCTAAACTAAACTAATTGAACTAAGCTCATCGAGTTAAATCGAAATATAGCAAAATTTTTCAAAAATTTCATCATGAGGACTGATGCAATAGTTAGATTTCTATAAAATCTACTAAAAAGAAAACAAATAAGATTCATAACGAGACTCGATTGTATGTTATTTTTTAGTTGAATGAAGATTTACCAATTGAAATGTGTCCTGTCATAAGAATACTAATATGAATAAAGCAAATAAAATTATTTTATAGATTACTATATTAATTCAAACTAGTTATGCATTATTCTTAAATCAGCTTCTCTTATCAAAATATACGATCTACATTTTCTTCCGAAAAATTTTTATACTCAAGTATTCTGCCGATTTTATTGAATTTATTTTCATTCGAGTTTTTTCTTTTCGCGAGAAAAAGAAACTTAATCTCAGGTACTCAACCAGAATTACAGCTAGTATTTAGCGAGTAATGACGCGGTGGACTGACTGCTGTATTGATTAAGTGTCTCTACCAAAGTCGGAAAGCACCCAATCTTTGTGCTTACAGATAGACAAAAAAAAGATTTGCTTTTTGCTTATTTAAAATCACACCTCAAGTTTTGAAACCAACTTCCATTCAATTTCTATCGATCAAAATTTTCATAAATTTATATAAAAAATGAACAAATTTTTACAATCAATGATTTCAATTGTTTCTTACCGATTTTAAAATTTTGTATACTTTTAAAAATAAAATTATCTACTGACAAATTTTCACAATGTGAAATGCATGATCTATTAAATTTTACTTTTATTTTAAGAAACATTTGATAAACTATATTTTCGAAGTTTTGTAATACTTTACTGTGATGTTAAAATTTATTTAGCTTCAAAATGTAAAAAAGTTCGTGACACACTGCAAGGTCATCTATATTGCTCCGTACGTTCGAAAGATATCATTGTCTTCAAAATTAAAAAGATCTTTTTTTTTATAAATCAAAAATTTAATGACCCTAAAAATATAAAAATATAACGTAATATACCACCGGAACGGTCAGTTCTACTAATGACAAAATAATTTTATTACCAAGTATTAACTTTATCTTTTTATTTTTTGTTTTCTGTATGATTCATAATAGATTAATTCATCGAAGTTTTAGAAAACATACTCATTTTATAATTTATTTGAATTTTCCAAGATATATAAAAAATAAATAGTGAGTTTGAAAAATTCAAAAAATTTCATAAAAAATATCATATTAATAATTGTTATCTTTAACCTACTAAATTTTATTGAATCATAAAAATATATCGATTTAGCTAATGCAATGTATGAATAGTTAATGTTTAATCCTTGTTTAATAATAATACGTGAATTTACTTTATACCTTATTAAATATGTACTTCTGCAATTCGGTCTTTACCTTGGCATTAAAATTAAATAAATGATCCTCAAAAAACTTCAGAAATTTCAATTTTTGACTTTAAGCAAATATCAAGGTCCAAAATTTTTTTTTTAATTTCAAAAACATCATGCACTGCACAAAAAAGATAAAAATTTCACGTAAACATTCAATAAAATTCACATATACGCACATAAATTCCAAAAATCCTAATCATATACATGAATTTTGATGTCTGTGATAATTAAGTTATTAAAAGTATTTAAAAAAACCAACAAAAAAATCTGATGCGCAATATTGTGTTACAGTTTGAAAAGCGAAAAGTTTCTATGCTAGCCTAGGGGGTCAATATTTTGTTTAACTGATGGAGATATTACAATACCCTGACAGAAAGTTTCTGAAAGCTAAGAATAAAAAAACAAAAGTTAAACTTTATATTACTAGCTATCTACTGTAAGAAGCTTTTTCGAATAGGTATCATAAGTTTTATTTATCAAGTTAATAAATAAATTGATTATCTCAAAAAGGTTCGAATTCTAATGCGCATGTTGAGCGATAAAAAAAAACTTACTTGGAACTTGCTCGGCTTCAGCTGATGCAAGAACTTTGCAATTCTTTGTTTGATTTTTTCTTAAGTTTATTTCAGACTCCCATCCTCTTAAGTTGTTGGACATCCGCTTTCGTGCTTTTACTTGCAACCAGACCACTTTAACTCAAAAGCTAATTACAGTTGAGGCGTAAACGAGTTTTTGCACCTCATAAGGTACACCCCTACATACTTTCTCTACGAAATACTTCATTTGTTTTATTTTGTCAACTCCGTAATTATTTTCGCTTCTATAATGAAATTTTATTTAAATTTCAAGTTACACTATAATATATAATTAGCTTCTGGACCGGTGTGAACGTTTTTGCATGGAAAATATAACACCGAAAGTAAGTAAATTGTATTAAATATTACAAAAAAAAAATTTTTTGGGCCGAATTTAAATTAAAATCTTCTTATTATCTAATAATACAATTACAGTTAATACCAATATGGTCAGTACAGTAGTACATATTGATTAAGACAACGCAAATAATTTCTATCTTCGTAGAAAACGGTTAATTGATATTGTGACAAAACATGTGTTACATTTACAACCCTTAATACATTTTAATGAAATTTACTCACTTATTTTTTGGGCGTTTCTTAAAAATGTAAAGATTTTTTTTTGTTTGTAATTTAACTTTAATAATTTTTTTTTATTCAGTTATTTTTAGACTAACGTTATTTTAGTAAAGCCAACGTTTCAAAATTGTTCATCTTACAAATGATTTTATTTTTTACAGATAGATATTTTTTTCTTTTTCATATTTTACCACAGGCATCAATTATTCTCAATATTATTAACATTTTTTTCATTATAGTGATGTTATTATTGAAATTTAGTTCATTTTACAAGCGGCAAAATTTAAGATTTTTCGAATCCTTACAGTCATCCCTAAACTTCAAAACTTACTGGCAATAATGGCTATGACTATATATACATACCTTTTACATATATTATTTGTATGTTCTATAGGAATGGTATATCCAATAGACCTCTTTAATGGCCTTCTGATATGCTCATGTGAATAGATACATAGCTATGCAGTCACATAAATGGCGAGTCCTCTCACCCTAGGGGTGTATCGATGTGTGTCGGGTAAACAACCATGTATTACGTAGGTGGTATAGAGACGAATGGTCTTTCGGGACATTGAGCGTATCCTGTTTAGTTAAACATTCGCTGATGCACTTCTGCTGCCGGTTAATTCTCATGCTTAATCGAAATTCTAGTTTGCACATGGTCCTCCCGAATAGACCTTGCCATAAAATAAGCCAAATATTTTTTGATTTTTGTAATATCTGCTACAAGTTCACTTTGATAATGTTATAACCCCCACGGAAAAAGTATATATTCTAGTATATATTCTGTAATATATTCTGAAATATATTCTAGAATATATTCGAGAATATAGGGGAGGGGGGGGGCAAAATGGGGTACTTAAGCAATCGTTATGATTTTAAGGACTTGAATACGCTGATTTTTCTCGTTTTCAGTCGTAATTAAAGGAAAATAATCAAATTTCAAGTTGCCGTCGAAAAAAAATTTTTTTTTT